TATCTAGGTTAGAAGTGTTTTCACACATAAAATCCATCCTCTTTCCATAAGGGTATCTTATGGTCTATCCAATTTAGGGTTAACCTGAAATATTTCACAGCCTGATGTGGATTTGCAATTAGCACCCTACCTAAATTTACACTCCAGAGTAAATTATTTTGTTTTCAAACCCTATTCACCTTTTGGAAAATGCTTGTATCTAAGATGTTAATTTTTCTGCTTTTTCTGGAATGCCAAACCATTTTCTTTTGGAATTGTTACCTCACCTCCCAAACATCTCACATGATCATTGTGGGAACAGTTCTCCAGAATGACTGAATAAACCTATGCAAACAAAGAAACCTTCTAAAGCATATTTGTAAACAAAACTGCTATAAACTCTAAGAGGCATATGGTGCATCCACATGCTTCCTGCGTCAGATATATAGGAGAAATTACAACTTGAATCCAATGGATATTAAAGTCAGTTTATGCTTTATCCATGCAGCAGAATTTAGTGCCAGAAGCTAGTTGCTGTTGTGTTCAATCTGTTGCACTCAAAACAGTCTTTGAGTACCCTTAAAGACCAGCTAATTCATTATAGCACAAGATGTTGTGGACTATGATAATTTCATAATTAGTTGCATAAAATAATAGCCTTGAATTTCAAGTACATAGAGATCCATGACTGAAGATTATAAACAGAGCAATTCCTAACAGCTCCATGCATCTCTCATGTCCTTTAGTCCTAGAGTGTTTATTCAGGAGCAGAGAACAACCAACTAGGTTTCTAATTCCCACAAGTAAGTGATGAGCCAACCTTTCATTTCTTTGCCTGCAACATCCAAGTGGTTCAGTCTAAAGTAAAATCATAATAAATAACGATTAATGATTTTGAAGTTATAATTAGGAATCCAGTCCAGTGCCAAGGTCTAATTTAGTAAAGTTGTTAAAGTAAAAGGCAGTGAAGAAAAACAGTGAAGTAAAAATATAAATAACAGCATAGAAACAAAATTTATACCAGGAGAGTTGTGTCTCTCCAACAGCGAAGGCAAACAAAAAGAGATTAGAATCCCTCAAGCATTCTATGATGTGTTTGAAACTTGCCAAAAATGGATAAGGTAGGAGCACTAGTGGTTAGACATTTTGCCATATTCATGAAGGGTCAATAATCAATGATCAGGGCTTTACATGTTAAGGGGTAGCCAAGGAAAAGGCCTGGTAACAGCAGGATTCATCTAGGGAAGATAAAAATTAGTAAACTGTGGCTAAACCTTCCCTCTTGGAATTTTATCTTAAGTGTCTTTTTGCGTTTTGTAAAAATTCTGTATTGGGCTATAGATTTAAAAGTTTATTACTTACATGGACAGATTCTAAAATAAAGCTAAGTAAATAAAAACAAAGTAAGGACTTAATAATTACCCACCCCTCAACTCAACACAGGTTTGGATTTCCCAACTGATATATCTCATTGCAAAAACTATCAATTTAAATGCACAATGATTATCTCCCATCAGAACGGTCATTTTGTGTAATGCAGATTCATGCATCATGATTATTAGAAGAGAATTGTAAATGACATTTAATTATGTATCCCACAATAAGCTTTGAGGCACTTCAAAATCAGGCACCCACATGACCAGGAAAACATGCAGGAGAATTGAAACAAATGGTAAAGAATATGAAACTTAAGATCTGCATTGCACAATTTTACTTGTCCAGAAGACCATCTTTTATGATAGAGGTTCCTAAATGTTTTGCCTTGAGCGTAGTCTTAATGTACACCCCTTCCCTAAAAACCCATACACAGAAATGAACACAAATGAACAATGAAAACAAAACCTTAGGAAAGGTAGATTTATTGTAACAATGTCATGAAAAAGTTCCTCACATGTCCCCTGAACTCCTGTCTGCACCTTTCTCTTACGGTTTGGGAAACCCTGCTTTATGACGTGGCACTGAATCATGTATGTCCTAAGTCTTTTCTTTGGAGCAGTGTGACACAATGTCAATAACACAGAAACCCTTGATAAGAAGACTTGCAGTTTGGATTCTGTTTCAAAATATTTTTTTATTTAAAAAAAAATACCAAAGACAGAGACAGGAGAAAAAGAGAGACATGTTCAAAATCCTTTGCAGCAAATACCAATATAAGTACAATTGCAAAATTGTCTCTTACGCTATGATTACTCTTTTTCTTGTCCACTTTTTTCCTAATCATTAAAACCAGCAATCATAAATCCATTTTTTTTCTAGTTCATACAAAAAGTCTATAAGGGGTTTCCAGTGAACTATAAATGTAGATATTGTTTTATTTCTAACCAATGAAATTAGTTTAACCCTCTCTGCAAGTCCCATCATCTTCACCAACCATTCCTCCATTGTAGATTGATATACTATTTTTGAGCATATAATAGTCTCACTGTTGTTTTCATATATAAAAGCAAGCTTCCATGACTTTTTTTCCTAATGCTTATCCATGAGTCCCAATAGGGCTTTTCAACTTCAGGTACCTAGAAGAGTATACAGCCGAGGTGGCGCAGTGGTTAAAGTGCAGTACTTCAGGCTACTTCAGTTGACTGTTAGCTGCAGTTCAGCAGTACAAATCTCACCGGCTCAAGATTGACTCAGCCTTCCCTCCTTCCGAGGTGGGTAAAATGAGGATCTAGATTGTTGGGGGCAATACACTGACTCTGTAAACCGCTTAGAGAGGGCTGTAAAAGCACTATGAAGCAGTATATAAATCTAAATGCTATTGCTATCACTCCTTTACAGAGCAACATGGACAACAAGGCCATTTTCTGAGGTTGCTTGCCAAGTACCCCTGCCAAATGGTGCTACCTGGATTAAGGTATGTCCTTCTCTTCTTGGAAAAGTTCAGAAGATGCTTACACTGTGGTCTACAGTGGGTCAAGTGGAGACATTTTTATTCTCCCAGCTGCCTAGCCTTTTAATATTTCGCTTTAAAAGTTATTAGCATCATTTAGATTCTTCCATTCCTATTAGCCTCCCCTAGCTGTTTATTTTGGATTCATTCTGAGAGTGCTTTATTTGTTTAATGTTTTACATTAAGTTTTATTATATCTGAATATTTTATGGTCTCCACCATTAATTTCTGAAGTGCCCAGAGAGCTTTGGCTATTGGATGGTGAAGAAATTCAATAAATAAATAAATACATTTGGAGAATACCATGGGGCTACATTTTATAGTATGAACAAAAACAGCTTGCATCAAGAAATATTCCTTCCCCTTATGCCCCTATAACAGATGATTAGCAAGAATAGATTGACTGTCTTGAAATTATTTTCCCCAATCCTTTTCCTGAAAGGAAAAGAAGACCTCTTTTCTTGGGTTTCATTTGACTGAATGTCCAAGTAGAATACCCATTCCCTGGCATAGGTACCATAATTACAAACTCAAATGCAATCATTAAAGCAGCAACATTTGCTTGGCATCCATTTCAGTTGGTCTTTCCTCCTCCAGAACCTACCTCAACTGGAATGAAATTGCATTAAATCCTATGGAAAAGGTGAACGCAAAGAAAAATGCCAAGCTCCTGCTGCCCTCTTTCATTTAAGAATCATCTTTTTGGACACTCCCTGCAGGGCAACCTACACAATTACTCTCAGACTGCTGAGATGGCAAAATGGCAAGCTTTCCAAGGAGTTCTCTATGGCAACCTGAAAACAACTCTTTAACCATTACCTCGACCTTCGCCTTCAGTCTTTTGAATTGTCTTATTTCATGCACGTGTGAGCAGAGGTAATACTAAAAATGAGTTCAAAATGACATTATTCACTTTCATTACAGCTGGGAGGCGCTGAGAACTAAGAGAACTAGGAACCTCTGTCTTAGTTGAGTTTTTATAGTTTTAAATGCTTTTTAAACCATTATTATATAATGGTTTTGGATAATGACTTCTGTATATTTCTACTTTTTTATTGGATTATGGTAAACTACCCAAAATTGCTTTCTGTGAGATGGGTGGCCATATACATTTGATTAAATGACTGAATAAATAAATGACCAGAACAGGGCATCCGCGCATGAACTTGATAAGATGGAGCTTGCTTTCAGAATAGAAATCAGAGTGCTAGAACGTGACAGAAGTAGGAGACAGGGAAAAGAAAAGAAAGGTGATGGGAAATAATGTGCAAAGAAACATGAGCTGTGAGAAATCTCTTAGTGCACAGCTATGGTAGTACAATGTTAAAAGTCTGGATCCTGTAAAATATTCTAATTTTTGGTGTATCTTTAGGAGCAATGATAGATCACCCCCATATCTGGAGTCAGGTACAAGTGTAGTTTAGGATCTGCAGTAAGGATAATCTTATGTCACTTCAGTAGCACCTCTTGTGCGTAGATGTAAGAAGTAATGGCCTAAGATGCCTGATTTTTTTTTTAAGAATACATTTGTGAGAAGGATGTTTGATAAATACATATTAGACCAGTTTTTACAAACCAAATACCTTCCTGGTGTATTGGGACTGCAATTGCCAGCATTCTCAGCCAGAATAGAAATTTTAGCTCAATACACGTAGTCCTTGTGTTACGACCACGACTGAGCCCAAAATTTATGTTCCTAAGTGAAATATTTGTTAAGTGAATTTGCCCCATTTTACGACTTGCCACAATTGTTAAGTGAATCACTGCATTTGTTAACTTAGTAAAACCTGGTTGTTAAATGAATGTGGCTTCCCCATTGACTTTGCTTGTCATAAAAGGGGATCACATGACCTCAGGACATGACAACGGTCATAAATATGAACTACTTGCCAAGCATCTGAATTTCGATCATGTGACCATGGGGATGTTGAAATGGTCATAAGTGTGAAAAATGGCCATATGTCTCTTTTTTCAGTGCCGTTGTAACTTTAAACAGTCACTAAATGAACTGTTGTAAGTCAACATCTACTTCTATATGTTAGTTTAGTGAAGATCATGTTAAACCAAAGGAATAGGAAAAAGGAGCCCAAGACAGGAAGATCAGAAGAGGCCACTCAAAGGTTTACAAACTTACCTTAATGTTGTCTTGCCATCGATGGGCCTTCTGAAACTTCTCTGCCGCATCAGCTAGTCTCTGAAATGAAAGAGAAGAAACAGCATGAGTCCGTAAAGAGATAGTATGAATTGCAGTAATGACCAAGGACTCATTTTAACTCTGCTCTTTCACACGGGAAACCAGCTATATCGTTCTCCCAGCTTATTAAGTAGCAAAACATTTTCAGCACCCTTACTTGGCAGCTCGGCTGTGAAAAGACATTAATTAAAAATTTATGATTTCCATAAACATCTTCTATATGCAGCTCTGATCTTTCTTAATTAAATGCTCAAGCTATTGGAAAACCTTGCCTTTCGTTACTTTTATGGGATCATTTTACTTCTGTGTCAGTGCAGTGCAGTACGGTGCTTCTACGTACAAATGAAAGTAAATAAATTACAATCAGTGGCGTACTGAGTGCGATGGAGAAGCCACTCTTCAGAAAGCTCATGTTCAAAGTCCAAACCTTGAGGCCAAATTGATTAATTGATGAGGTTTGAAGCGGGCTAGCATGTTATTTTAATTTTTGAGTTAATACTATTGCCTTGATAGGTTTAATGGCTCGCAGTGTCCTAACAATATAAATATGATTGGAGAAGAAATGTATCAAACAGTCCTTTTATTCTCCACAGTCAGCCTGGAGCTGGGCAGCACCAAATAAACAATTGAGCCCTGCACGTTTCCCCCGAAATTGGCTTGTTAAAAATAACTATTTGGTAATAGTTACAAGGCCAAAAGCTAGTATGATTCTAGCCTAAGTAGAAAAAAATAAGCCTTTTGCTGGCTACAACCTAAGAATTGATTGTGGATGTGGATTGTAGTCAGTTGTGGTTCACTTAAACCATGGCTAAAGGAAAGACCTGTGATTCCTTATGCTGTTGTACAGCTGTATGGAACACTTTTTATGACATGTTTTTCTGTTGTCTTATACTGTAGAATTATCCACTCAACCTGCTGAAAGACTCAAAATTAATGTATATTGTAAGAGATTTAAGTTCATTTGCTAGCAAGAAGTTATAGACCATAGAGCTAGAATCAAGCCATTATACTGACTTGCCACTAAAAACAAAACTCCTGACCTACAGAAGCTCACTCTCACTTTAATTTAGTGGTTGTGAAATAGAACGAATTTAGTCCAACACCCGTTACTTTTTCTTCACTTTGACAGTTCATTTTTACCAAATTCAGTCTCCAAGAAGAACATGTACATATGTTCAACTTCATCCATAAGAGACGTGGTGGCGCAGTGGTTAGAATGCAGTACTACAGGCTATTTCTGCTGACTGCCGGCTGACTGCAACTTGGCAGTTCGAATCTCACCAGGCTCAAGGTTGACTCATCCTTTCATCCTTCCAAGGTCGGTAAAAGGACCTAGATTGTTGGGGGCAATATGCTGACTCTGTAAACTGCTTAGAGAGGACTGTAAAGTAGTATATGTCTCAGTGCTAAGTGCTATCCAATTGCAATGTAGCAGCCATTCTAGGATGCTGTTCAATGATGGGGATCAAGAACTCAGGTAGCATTCTAAACAAGTTTTTCTTATAATCACAAGCGTCAAGCAAGAGCATTTAAAGACAGCCCAGCCAATTCTATTCAAGCAGGATGTTAATGCAGATGCATGAAATATAAAAGATATAAATTGTTTCCCCCACCCATTCACACAACATATATAAACATGCATACATTTGAGAGTTGTATTGTATAATAGTTAATGTGCTAGACTAGGAGCACAGAGACTGCTATTCCACATTGCTCAAGCAAAAGCTCTGCATAACAAAAGCAGTTTTCTTCTCTTAGGCATGAAGCACTCACTTATAATCAGTGTATGCGTCTCGGGTTCTTTAGAAACACCTTTCAGAATGGCAATTATCCCAAAGGAACACGCAAAAGTCATAAACCCAATTTAGAACAATATATCACAAGAGTCCATAAAACAAAACGCAGTAGCTGTAAAGTATACAAGCATTAACCTGAGGCGAGCCAAAACCATGCTTCCCCTAATATTCAGATTAAAAATGAAGCAAAATATTTTTCTTTGATGCTGCAGGGGTTTTTCCTCTCTCAAGGCAATGCAATATTGCAGCTTGGACTTTCCCAATAAACAATCCAAAGACTCCATCTGGGCTGGGAGCATCTAAGCAGGAGCTCACAGCAATCTCTCTTCCAAGCAAAGCTCATAAAAATATTCTTCAAGCTGCTTTTTAAAACCTGCTTGTTGAAAGGTTTCCAAAGTGCAGAGGAGAGAAGCCTTCAGAAGGGGAATGCCAATCTTTTCCAGGAAAGGAGAAGACTGTCCCTTTCAATTTTTCATCTTTTTTTTCCCAACCCTTTATAAACTAGTCACATTCTTGTTAGAAAAAAAAATTTTTTTTTCTGTCTTACTTCTTCCATTCCATGCCAGCATATTTTCATTAGCTCTACTGGATACATGAAAAATTATGGATAGAGTACATTAGGGTTTTCTGCATAAAATGTAACAGGTATAGCAGTAAAACATATGTTCCATTATTAGAGTGACTGGGAGTTGGACACTGTACAAATTTAATAAATAAATATGCAGAGAGACTTTAAACACTGGGAAAACAACGGAGTAGGTATCAAACTGAGTGGGGCCCTAATTTAATGCTGAAATAGAAATCAATCATGTCCCTCAACAAGTGAGGATGCTCTTGTGTTTTCCCATTACTCTTTAGAACCAAACGACTAAACGGGACTGAAATGAGGATAAAATCAATATTACTTCTTTTCCTTCTATAATGTTTAAAACCATCCATTCTGCCATTTAGATGGGAAGAAAACAAATTCCAACTGCTTGGCAAATAGCACAGAGTGCAATCAACCACAAAGTTATTTTTGAATTTTGATGTAGTTAAGGCTTCATTCTAAGTGTGTAACACTGGCAACAAGAGTGTTACCCATTATTTAATATCACCCTCATTTTATCAACCCCAGAAGGCTGGAAGGCTAAGTCAACCTTGAGCTGGTCAGGCCTGAACTCCTAGTTGTGGACAGAGTTAGCCTGCAATACTGCATTCTGACCACTGTACTACCACAGTTCTTAATGTACTGGAAGCAGACTGGCAGCTAGTGCAACTCCCATTGTTCAGATGTTACATGGCTGTCATGGCTGTTATAAGCTGTCCTAGATCCTGCCCCTGTCTGAAATTCCCCAGAACCAGAGATCTTAGGCAAATCAATATCCAACCCACCTGGGAGATCCAGCATCTCATTCTTCCCCACCTAGAAAGTGCTGATCAGTAATTCTGGGAGTCCAAGTTACCACACATCTGGAAAGTATCAGGAATGTTAATCTTCATATTGGATCAACATTCCCCACCTGTTCCAGTTCTTTCCAAATATTGCCATTTCACTGTCTCTTTAAGTTTCATAGAAATGTATATGGAAGCATTTCAGAAACATCTCATGGTAGACAGAAGAGTTTCCCATAATCCCACGGACTAAAGAAAAGTAGGAGAGCTGGGAAAGAAAGAAATTAAAAGTGCAGAGAATTGATTTGTGTAACACATTTACTCAGAAATAGCAGTGCTTGTTCTTTATTTTTAATTAAGTTAAAAGGTATGAATATACTGAGGTTGTGGACTTCCAAAGGGATCAATTTTGCCTCAGGAAGTAAATTAAAAACAGAAAACGCAATAAATGACATCCAGCTTGTGGAACCAGTCAGTCTCTACCTTGGTTCTGAGGAATATATTTTTGGATAAGGAGAATAATTTCAGCCAGGCTAGCTGGGCCACTGGCTCTTGGGATCCAACCTTGCCCTCAGTCAGCGAGAGCTGAATGCACTTGTGCCATAAAGATGTAACCACTTGAGACTAAACTTTAGGCACTTCTGTAAGCAAACACAAACTCACTGTTGTTCATTTCCCCACAGAGCAAGCCCATCCTTGGCTTCTTTCCACAGGGGAAATTGTATTCAGACATAATAATAGAGCCCTACATGGCAAAGTAAAAGAGTAATTAAAACTGCCATGAATTAACAATTACCACTAGAAACTGAGGGTAGAGATAAAATTACAATTGCATTAGTAATGGATAGATTTAATAAGCAAAATATTCTGCATTCAATTGAAAACATTCATTGATTTGATTTGTGTTCTTGTGTGTGTGGTGGCAGAATAACAATTTTCTTATTTTGTTTTGCCTTAGCACTTCAGTCTCAGTCTTCAAAATACATCTGAAGATTTTTTTCATAGCAGTTGTTAAGTGAATTTTGCCTTGTTTTTACAACCTATTTTGTCACTGTTGTTAAATGAATCACTGCAGTTGCTAAGTAACTCATGTGGTCGTTAAATGTGAATCTGGCTTCCACCCCATTGATTTTGTTTGTCAGAAGCCGGCTGGGAAGGTTACAGATGGTGATCACATGGTGATGCAACTGTCATAAATACAGTATATGCCAGTTGCAAAATACCCAAATTTTGATCACATGACTATGGGGATGCTGCCACGGTCATTAGTTGCAAAATAGTCATAAGTCACTTTTTTCAGTGCCATTATAACTTTGAACAGTCCCTAAAAGAATAGTTGTAAGTTGAGGACTGCCCGTAATAACCATATGAATCTTAGGACCCAAGACGGTAAGCCTCACAATTCCAAGTGTTATGAAACAAAAACAAGATCCTGTTTTGCTGTTGGCTTCCTGAAGGCCTATGAGTGGCAACAGCCAGAAGAAACTTGGTGGGATTTTGATAATAGCAATAGCACTTAGACTAATATACCGCTTCACAGTTCTTTACAGCCCTCTCTAAGCAGTTTACATAGTCAGCATATTGCCCCCAACAATCTGGGTCTTCATTTTACCGACCTTGGAAGGATGGAAGGCTGAGTCAACCTTGAGCCTTGTGAGATTTGAACTACAAACTGCAGTCAGCTGGCAGTCAGCACAAGTAGCTGCAGTACTGCATTCTAACCACTGCACCACCATGGCTCATAAGAACATAAGGAGAGCCTTCCATCCTGGAACCATTGCAAGCAGCATCGAGACAGAATCAGTCAAACCCACTGCCTATATACTTGAT